TTTTCAAGGAGAGGAGCAAACGGGGGGGCGGGGAGAGGGGGTGCAACAATGAATGAATGGAATTCCAAAATCTCTGTAGATGTTCATTGAAATGAAAAAGAAATAAATTAATTAATAAAAAAAAATTTATAGCCTCAGAAACCCAATGGAGGGACACCATGGGCCGGAATTGACTTGATGGCAATAGGTTTAGTCATAGTTTTTAAGTCATTAGTAATAATTAAATTTGCCACATAGAAAAATTTTAAACAGCAACCTTCATTTTGTAATAATTTCAGATTTACAGAAAAGTTTTAAAAAAGAGTACATAGAGCTATCTATCCCTTACTCAGTTTTGGGGAGAGGGCAATTTTGATAGCCTTAAACTCAAGAGAAGTTTCCCAAAGGAAGAAATGGTTTATTTTACCCCCATGCACAGATACACACACGTGTGTGCATACCTCATTCATGTGTCTATGTATTTGATAGGGAGCTCTGGTGGTGTAAGCAGTAGGACATTGTACTACTCACCCAAAGGTCATGCCTCTCAAGTGATTTGAATCCACCAGTGACAACATGAGGGGCAAAGATGGGCAATCCGGACCTGTGAGAACTCCCTCTTTGAATTTAGAACTGGACCAAAAATAGCAGCGTTTGGGTGGAGGCAGTGATGGATCTTCTTCAACTGACACACCTGTTGTAAAGCACAGTTTCCCCTCTTTCACGTCCATCTTCAGAGTAGTCAGAGCTGTAATTCCAGCTGTTTAGTGTAAGACCTCAAGGGAACAACAAGAGCTGCTAAACCTCTTTCTCAGTACTTCCTAGGAAAAGTTATAAAAAACCAGTTACCAGGTCAAGTTCGCAAACATAGTTAAAGAGGAGCTGCTCAAACTCCTAGAGCTACTGAAAATGAAGGGTCTATACTGAATTCAATAGGCTAGTGGTTAAGAATATACTCTTCTCAGTGCATTTGTCTAAGGAGCGCTGCTAACTGAAAGGTAGGCAGTTTGAACTCATCCAGCTGCTTTACGGGAGAAAGACCTAGTGATCAGCTTTCTGTAAAGATCACAACCAGAAAACCTCTATGAGACGGTTCTACTGTCACATGGGGCTGCTTTGAATCTGAATTTACTCGATGGCACCTGATGACAACATCCTTGCCTGTTCTAGATATGTAAGTGGAATCAGACAATAATTGTCCTTTTGTATCCATTCACAGGATAGTGAGTAGGCAGGGGTGTGAATTTGAAGCCACAGTTTCCACATTTGAATCCTAACTTTGCCATTTATTAACCTTGGCCTTTGGAGCAAGTAACTTGACCTTCCTGTGCTTCAGTTGGAGGAGCCCTGGTGGTGTAGTACATTATATTATAATGTTTACTGAAAGGTCAGAGGTTCATATATACCAGGCACTTCACAGTAAAAATATGAACAGTCTCCTCCTATAAAAATTTACAACCTCAAAAACCCCAATGGAACGTAGTCATGAATCAAAACTGAATTCATAGCAGTGGGTGGGTGCCTCTGTTGCCTAGTATGTAAGATGAGGCTAATGATTGTCCCTATCTCATACAGGCTCTGGTGGCATATTCTGTAGGGACTTGGGCTGCCAACCTAAAGGTCAGTGATTCAAATCCACCATCAGCTCCTCAGAAAAAAGATGGGTCCTCTCATTTGGTGCAATTTACAGCCTCCTCTGAAAACCCACTGGAGGCTCACCTGTGAGTCAGATCTGACTCAATACAATGAGTTTGAGTTTGATTTCCATAGGGTTGTTGTGAGGATTGAGTGAATTATTATTTGTAGAGCATTTAGAATGGTGCTAGGATCAGTAAGTATTTAAATATAGTTACTCTTGGCTTCATGGACTTAGAGGAAGAAATAAATGGGTCATTAAAAACTGGCTGATGTTGATTAAAAAAATTATCTCTTATGCTTGATTTGAACAGAAGATCAGCCACCTGTGACCAATTTGAGTGTTTCCATTAAAAACCTCTGCACAATAATATGGACATGGAATCCTCCTGAAGGAGCAAGCCCAAATTGCAGTCTGTGGTATTTCAGTCATTTTGACAACAAAAAGGATACGGTGAGTTTTCTGGACATACTGCATTGATGATGTAAAATGAACACTATGAATTGGAACTAAGAATAAACCAAATTCTAATGGTCAGAATGGGGATTTTATTTTATCATGTATTAGATTTTTAAATGGGGAGGGATTATAGAATCTGCAGTTGACAGAATTGAAGAATTAAAAAAATTGTTACTTAGTGATTGAACATAGTTAAGATGTCAGTGATGGATAATACCAGATATCTTTATCTGTTAGACACTCACCAGCTGAATGTTAAAATTTGTTCCTATGTTCATACTTGAATTTTCCTACTTGCCATCTTGTTAATCACATGTTCCTATGGATCTGTAAGAACTATGTGATGCTTTTTGGGGAAATGCCAAACTGCTTTCCAGAGTGGTTGTAACATTTTATAATCCCACCAACAATGTGTAAGAGTTCCTTTCTATCCACATCCTCTCCAACATTTATTACTTGCTGTCCTGTTAAACTGTGCCACTACTACTGGAGTGAGATGGTATCTCAATGTGGTTTAGATTTGCATCTCTCTTATTGCCAGTGATTTGGAGCATTTCTTCATGTGTCTGTTTGCCATTCAAATGAATATCTTCCTTTGTGAAAATTCTTTCCATGTCTTTTACCCATTTTGTAATTATGTTATCAGTCTTTTTCTTGTGGAGGCACTGTAGGATTCTGTAAACTTTCGTTATGAGACCCTTGTCTGAGATGGTATTGCCAAATGTTTGTTCCCAGTCTGTAGGTTTTCTTTTCACCCTGTTGGGACAAGTTTTTGATGAGCACAGAGCTTTAGTCTTTAGAAGGTCCCATTCATCAATTTTATCCTCTTCAGATTGTGCATTTCTGACTGTATTTGGCTGTCCCTTTATACTGAGACTAGGCCTTCTAACTCAGTCTCACAAGGACAGATACTGTATAAGACATTATTGTAGAATGAGTACGAGGATCAGGGGGTGGGTGGGCTTAATCATAGAGTCACACAATTTGGTGGGTGGAGGGAGGAGTGGGTAAGGGAAAGGAGAAAGATCCGGTGTGAAGACAATGTATACGAACTTGATGACTTTGTATGTAAATATATAAATATATATATAAAGAATTATGTGATGGGAAAAAAATGACCATATGAGAGGTGAAAATATGAGATACTGGTTACAGGTACAGAGCTCTCGTACCTGGCTTGCTAACCAAATGGTCTGAGGTTTGAATCCATCAGCCATTTTGCAGGAGAATGATGAGGCGATCTGCTTCCATCAAGAGTAAAGGCTTGGGAGCCCTATGGATTTTTATACTCTTTTTCTGCAGTGTTGCTGCGAACCTGAATTGACGCAATAGCAGTGGAGTTGATATCTTGATGGTTGCAGGTGGGCTTAAAAATGAAGTTACCCTAATGCCCGAGGGGATATGAGAAGAACTCAAGTTCCTTTTATAGGCCACTAGAAAAGTGATGGCTTGAATGCATAGGAAGATGTGCTTAGTGCTAACCCAGAAAGCTTTTTATGCCACCGGTGGTTTGAATCTACCATTAGCTCCTCTGGAGAAAGTCTTGTCCTCTTGGGATTTACAGCCTCAAAAACTCCATGAAAGTTCACTATGAGTGGGAATCTTCCCCATGGCAGTGCGCATGTATGTGAGAGAGTTTAACTTTATTAGACAGATGCTCTGGTCGCCTAGTGGTAAGAAGCTGCAAAGGCTCACAGTTCAGATTCACCAGCTACTCTGTAGGAGGATGGGCAGTCTCCTCCTACGCTATTTATTGCCTCTGAAAACTCACTGCAGGGTCAGCAGTGAGCTGGTTTTTACTCGACAGCACACAACAACTGACATATACAAACAACTTATTTAAGTAAATTTGTATTAACAAAATGAGATAACTTTAGGTTCTTATTCGACAGAATGTTCTCTTGATCCTTTTTGATTTGTATGTTGTTGTGTACCGTTGCATCAGAACCGATCCACAGCTGACCCTCCTGCTTTTCAGAGGCAGTTAATTGCACGGGAGGAGATTGCCTAGCCCCATAAATGAACAGGTTCTTTAAAGCATCAAAGTATTGGCCCGAAATTGTTTTAGAATTTCTTTTCCTTCTGTGCATGGAAAAGGAGAGTGTTTAAGGCTGATTTTTTTTAACTTCATGGTGGTTCTCAGAATTAGATTCAGGGTTTTGAGGTATCATAATGAGACATTGTCATTCATGACAGTAGTTTGGATTAATGAGTTCTGAAGTCATTATGTTCATGAAATTTGAAACAGGAAGAGTCAGGAGAACTAGGTTCCAGTCGAGGCAACTTATTTAACCTCTCTGAGTCAGTTTCCTCTTCCATAAAGTGAAGTCCTGTTCAAGTCCCTGGGTTGGTGGTGGTTTTGTGAGGTGCCATCAAGTTGGCTCCAAGTTATAGTGACCCTAAGTACAACAGAAAGAAACCTTACCTAGTTCTGTGTCATCTTCACCATTTTAGCTGTGCTTAAGTCCATTGTTGCTGTCACTGTGTCAGTCCATTAATGTCACCGAGAGCCTTCCTCTTTTTTGCTGACCCTCTTGCTTTACCAAACATGATGCCTTTCCCCAGAGTCTGGCTTTTTTTGATAACATGCCCAAAGTAGTGAAACAAAAGACTCACCATCCTTACTTCCACTGAGCACTCTGTCTATACTTCTTGTAAGACAGATTTATTTATTCTTTTTTCCATGGTATGTTTAGTATTTGTAACCATTCCCATAATTCAGAGACATCAATTTCTCTTTGATCTTTCTTTCCAGTTTTCACTTTCAACAGCATATGAAGCAATTGAAATTCCATGTCTTGAGTCAGGCATACCTTAATCTTGTCCGTGACATCCTTGCTCTTCAGCACTTTGAGAAGTCCTGGAAAATATTGTAGTTGAAAGCACAGCAAATGAGCATGAAGTATAAGGTCTTCCTGTGGAAGGAAATTTGTTAATCTTTTCACTGTCTTTCTTGCTTGGATAGTAATTAATGCTCTCCAGTTAATTAATGCTTAGGTGTTCATTGAAAAGGAATTGGGGTTTCCCAGAAATACTTGTGTCTGAAAAGAAGTCCTCTAAAGACGGAAGCTAGCAGTACTTCTTGTTGACTTGTTGAGTTCCCCTTTTTGCACTATTGGTGTTGAGTTTTGGTTGTTTAATCTTGAAAAATTCAAGGAAAGATCTGTAAATGCCTCTGGGTGTAAAGGGCAAAAGTAAAAAAACCAGACCTATTGCCATCCAGCCATAGGTTTGGCAGATGATATTTGTACTTTCATATTAGTATATGATCTGGATTTATCTATGTATATAACAGAGCAAATGGGGGAAAAGCTATAAAAACTTCTTAATAATAATCAGACATACTGAGAGAATGACTTGCTGGTCCTAAGACTCAGGAGATATCAAGGTCAGTTGACATAGTTTAGTGCAAAAGACCCAACATTTTTTCAGATGCTCTGCTGAAGAAGGAGGGGCAATCGCCTCCTGTGCCAATCTGATCCAATTCGACAATACACAACAACAACAAAACAAACACACAACCCAACATTTTACAATCTACTTTGTTGAAAATTGATTCGGGTCTTAAAAGCTTGTGAGCAGCCATCTAAGGTGCAACTATTGATATTTCCCTGTCTGGAACAAAGAAGAGGAAAGGAAAGCAAAAATGTACTGAAACAATTAATCCAAAGGGTTAATGAACTACTTGAACTTCAATTTCCGTGACCCTGAGACCAGAAGAGCTAGATGGTGCCTGGCTACCACTGCTGACCACTCTAAAAGAAGTCAGTTACAGCAAAAGATACTGGATAGAATCAGAGAAAATGTGAAACAAAACTGAAACAAAAAATCCATCCAGGTTTATTGGTTTAATAGAGTATTACCGAGCCTCTGAGATAATGGCCCTTAGTCACCATCAAGTCTCAAACAGAATTCACCCGTGTGGCCCAGCTTGCAGTCAGACAGTAGACAGCCCTATGAGGTAAACAGTAACACTAGGGAAGAACTGTCTTCCTGGAGTAATCAACCACATAAAATCTAAAGAGTAGGGAAAGAATTTAGAATGCAGGAAGGGACCTGCTAAAATGATGAACGGAAAGGAGAATCACAAGAAGAAAGTGAGAAAAGTGTGATTACAAAATGGGTCTTATAATTACTCTCATAAAACAAAATATATACAAAATTATAAAGGGTGATTGCTGCTTGAGGTCTGCTCGTTCCAGTCATTTGACAGCAATGGTGATGGCTAGCAATTGTATTCAGTACGGATTATTCCTTCCCATCAGTGATTCCAAATTTCTTCCATAGTTCTTTTGAAGTTTATAATCCTGAGACTGATACTGAACAGCAGGAGCAGTTTTTCTCTTCTTTTATGTCCCTTGGACATGGCATTAATATCATCAGGAAAAAACCCTTAAAACACTTATCTATTACAAAGCATATGGAAACATTGGCATTTGACAGTTTGTACAGGTAGGAAGGCTCTGTGAACATGCAGAGGTACCAAGTTACTAAAGATCAACTTTGGAGGTCATTTTAAGTCTTGAGATTGGAAGATCATTAACAATAGAGACAGGGAATGGTAGATGATTTTTTTTTAAATTGTAATTGTGCAACAATGAAAGAATCTTTTTAAAAAGAAAAGTGAACTGGGGGGTGGTAGAGAGGAAAAAGTGTAACAATGAATGAATGGAAATCCAGGTTTTCTGTATATTTTCATTAAAATAGCAATAAAAAAATAAAATACTTTAAAAAAAAGATTAGTGTAATTGGCTGCCCTCCACCACGTCTAAGCAATATTTAGTAGTTCTCCCAACTGGCAAGCATAAAAAGCTTCTGGCACCAGATTTTAGATATCTTTCATCACTATGTGTTTGTCAAGTCCCATTAGGTAGATTAATCAAGACTGTTGCTGTGTCCAAGGGGCCCTGGTGGTGCAGTGGTTAGGCAGTCAGCAGCTATCTGAGAGGTAGGCTGTTTGAAGCAGCCCACCACCTGCTCTGAGGGAGAAAGAT